TTGTTCATCATAATATGGATCCCAACACATGTCTGACAGTATATTATTTATATTATGATCTTTGCTGTTATACTGTTTCGATGATTTGATTTTTTCTGTTATGTATCTTTTACATTTTTTAATTATTTCTTTGATTATTTTTTGACTATTGCTACATAACCATAAGTGCTGTTGTGTCTCATTTTCTTGTTTACAGGAAATGCATGTCCATTCATTTCCATAGCCTCCACTCTTATTAGCTTAGATAATATTGATATAGTAATAGAAATTGTTAAAGATGCGTGACCAATGAGATCGAATCTATTACTTTTTAATAAATGGAAGGGAAATATAATCAGTTAGAAATCAACAGCTGGCTATGTTTGTTTATAAATCCTGGAAGATTCCAGTTTAACGATTGGGTGTGGCTGTCAAAGTCAAATTTCATTTATTACTATTATGGAATAAATTATTAATCAAGGATGTTCTTTGACATTCTATAATTTAATTAAATATTTCGCTAAGAGATTATTAATCAAAGAAAATCAACTATTATTTTAAAAATACTAAAAAAACTCCTTGTCATGAATTATAACTTCAAAACATTATAAATGGTTTTAGAATTTATTTCCTCATAATTAATTGTATATAACCAATTACGTGATATATGAGAATTAGTCCTTATACAGTATGTCACAAAAAAATGTCAATGTTGCTTTTAATAAAAAGTATCCAAACCAGAGAATCAAAAGATCTTGGATTATTATGTGTAAAAATTTTGAAACATATTATTATATAGGCTTTAGAGCAATGATCACATTAAAAAAATTTTTTTCAAAAATATCAAATTTCTTTTATTTTTAATTGATAAAGTTCTAGAAAATACAGTGATCAAGTAATTTTATATATAATTTTCAGAACTTAAAAAAAAAGATGTGGATCAGCTTTACAAAAAAAAACTGACAATAATATTTCATGTTTATTTTTTTTATTTAATATAGAATCTAATTTTATTTGTATTTGTTGAGCAATTCAATTTTTTACCTGTGCCATTTTTCGTGACACACTGTATACACCAATTTTTTATAATAATTTTTTTTTGATAAAATGTAAAATGAACTAACTGCCTAAGCTTGCAAAGATGTTATCATTATTAAACATATAACTAAGTTATGCTTTCAGTTGTTCTAATTTGATGGATTGTAGCTACCGACTAATTTTTTTTGAATTTTGTATGAAATACAGTTTCATTTAAAACCACCTTTACTACTACGATGTAAAAGTTTAACTTTATATTTTACATCTTTTAATAAAGTATATTATGGATATAAAATAAAATATAATGTATATGAATGACTAATAGTAATTACTAATTAAAATATTCTTTTTTTGTTGTTGAGTCAATCGTTATTCTTGATTACAGTAAATTTGAAAATAATAATCCAAAGTATTTTTCCACAAAGCATTAGGAAATAACGTTTTAAATGGCACGATATTTTCCACAAGAGATATTTAGAAATTGAATATATTCCTTAAGTATTGTAAATCATCTTTGTAAAACTTTGAAATACACTTTTTCTCGATCTACATTTTCGATTTTTCCATCCATTGAGTGATACTTCAGAAGTGAATTTCTTTTAAACTTAAAATGTCTTTTTGTAAAATAGATACAAGGATTGCTTTGATGAGGATTGGTTTTCTTTGAATTAAGAAGATTGTTGATTTGTGTTAAATATTTTAAAATTTTGTCTCAGATTTGATTTACCAACTAGGACGAAATAACAATCAATAACAGTTATAATAATACTTACTCATACTATTTCTTTGTTTATTTTGCGATGACTTTTTTTTTTAAAAAAAAAAAATTTTAGTTAGAAAAACTAAAAAATCTCTCAAAAATAATTATTCATCTCTTCTAAAAATACTTACTCTTTTTTTGGCAATGCAAATAAATAAATAAAAAGTCATTTTAGTATAATTGCTAACTAGAGCTTGAACTAAACGAAATAACAGTTACGATGATACTTACTCGAAAACTTCTTCGAATTCCGTTTTTTTATTTATTTCTAGAATAGCGCGGAACACGAAAAAATCTTTTTTTAAGTCACGTAATTTTTTCTTTTTCACCTCAATATACAAAATAATGCTTCCAATATTCAGCAAAACATATACATTTAGTGTTTTGAAGGTATAATATTATCAAAGAAGATCATCAACGTAATGTTGTACAAAAGAAACAACCGTTTTTTTTTAAAAAAAATCTCATTGCGAGATGAAGAGAACTGGGAATTCATTAATAAACTAAAGTACAATTTTAAAGAAGACATGTCGTTTACTAATGGCCAGAGATACTTTTTTTGTGTTAATACCCTATTTTTAAACTATTATATACTAATATATAAACGCGGAATAAATTTAATATATTCTTTTATTATATTAGCAATGGGTAATTATATAAGGTTCCTTGTCATGATAATAAACTAACGATTGGTATATTTGTTTGCGTAATCATTACCAACATTAAAAAGTGTCAAAACAACATAAATATCGAAGTTCTTCCTCTCACTCGCTCACACACACACACACACACACACACACACACACACACACACACACACACACACACACACACGCCCTCACTCTTGCACACGTATGAAAAACTGCTCTTGGACGATTTCGAAACACCCAAAAATGATCCGTTTGATAATTGGAAATTTACTCAAATATTTTTTAAAACATTATTCATCATCTTCCTTGTGCAAAAGGGCGAGGGTATACAATGATGCGTTAAATTTTCAGGGAGAATGCGTGACTTTAATTACATTATTCGTTTGTCTGAAGCCCTCCAACTTGTTCGAATATCTTTACATATGGATAAAGTTCTAAAGCCATGAATGATGCAATTGCGTGTTTGTAAAAGGACAATTTTATTAAATCTTCATGGTTAGTGTTAAACATGGATGCTATCCTGCACCTGTACCACCTAAACGTAATATTAAGTGTAGGATCAACCATCCCAATAAAATTCCTCAAACATCACCGTCATCAAGAACAATACACCTCTAGGGTGTTGTCCAATGTCAACCCTGCTTATGATCAATATCAGATTTGTTCATTTTATTTTTTTTGGAAAGAAGCTCTACAACTTGTAATTGTATACAATTGGAAGCATATGCACAAAAAAAAAAGGAATCAAGTAGAGACTTGACAACACTTTGGATGAATCCTTATACTACACAGAAAAGAATATCAGGTTGAAATTCAACAAAAATATCAAGGGTTTATTTCCAACTCTGTAGCATTTTCAAAATCAATTCCTTTAAATTCATTTCTTAATATTATCATTACCTGGCTGATGAAATCTATATATTGATCCTTTGTATGGAGAGGTGTGGGAAAAGGAGAAAGACAGATTAAAAAAAAAAGAAGAGAAGTTGAAGAAGAAGTGGGGGAGGAAGTGTTGGGATGGATGGGGAGAGAGTCTATATGAAACGAGTAAAGTGAACAAATTCCATAAAAAATGCACACAATAAATTATTTCACTCGTTTATTTATCCATTATTTATTTGAGTGATCAGTTGGTATGTTGTTTACAACGTTGACTAACTTCTGCTTTTTTCTTCAATTATATATACTGTGTATTTATACTTCCAAGAAGGCAAGGTTCCAAAGCTTCTTGTTACAAAAGAGCACTTTATTGCATTTTTTACTTTTCTATGTTATATATTATTTGTGAGCATATTCAAAATTGTCAATGACAAATATTTTCATTTCTATAATCTTTACCCTTTTTATGTGTTCCTTGGTCAGTTAATGTTAATTGGAAAGATCCACATTCTATTTTAACATGGATACAGAATTACAAGCCTGAAGAAGCAATTACACCTTTGATGCTTGTTGAGTCATTTGGTGTTCAACTTACCTTTTGTGCTTGTGAAAACACCATATTCCATGTCACTATGTTCACTTTGTTGCAGTATGTGCCCTTGGGAAAAATCATTTATTTGGAATGACAATGTTCATTATTTTCAATTACGATTATTTTTTTTTAATCCTCCATCTTTTGAATGATGTCATTCAAAATTGAATTATTTCCAATTTAATATTAGGTTTTGATATTTGTGGCGTTTCTATAAATTTATAAGCCATATATAAAAATCGTTGATCACTTTCAAACAATTACAAAAAATTTTTGCTTTTCTCTCTTTCTCTATTTATAATTTGTGTACTTGAACAAAAAATGTCAAAAAAACAAGAGGAACGTCAACCAAAGTAAATATGTTGCTAAACTTTTATATTTTTTAAATCCAATTTTACATTTTTAATATTTACAATTTTTTAATTCAGAATTATTCGCGAACTTTTAAAAAAGCCCGAAAATAAAAAATGTTTTGATTGTCCTTCCAAGGTAAAAATTAAAGCTTTTTTCAAATTCATAGGGGCAAAACTTCTCAACTAATTATTTTTTTTTTAATATAATGATAATAGGGACCTGCATATGTGAATCTTTTTAATGATACTTTTATTTGTGCTAAATGCTCGGGTTTACAGTATGTACAGTGATAGTAATTAGCAGTAACATTCACATGTTATTATTGAATTTCATCCAAATGTGTTGTCGTGTGAATTAATTAATCCATTTATTTTTCATCCATAATTTACAACTACATTTCTGTAGTCGTGAATTTAATCATCGTGTCAAATCGATAACCGCATCAATATTTACTCCAGCCGAACTTGAATCTTTAAAAAATGGCGGCAATGCTGTAAGAATATATAAAAAATTTTTTCTTGAGCAAATAAATTAGATAATAAATCAGTATAGATGTAATTAATTAATTTCTATGTATGATTTACTAATTAAGAAAGCTGCAGAAATTTGGCTGGCGAAATTTAAATGGATGGATTTTCCTGAATCCGATAATGATGATATAGAATCAATTCGTAATTTTATGTCAATGAAATATGAAGAAAAAAAATGGTTGGATGAATCACTTTTGAAAGCAAAAAATAAGAAACCATCAAACAGTGAATATTATGAGGTAAAAAATATAATTGATCATAATCATTCTGGGATATTTGTCTCAAAATAGTATTTCTTTACAATAATAACAAAAATAATTTGATTAATTAATAGAGTAAAGGAACTTTTACCATTAACCCTCCAGCATTGAATAATAAATTTAATAATAGTAATGGTAATTTAAGTGATGATTCTTCAAGTCAAAATTCTAGTTTAAATGATTATTCACCTGTTTCACCCACAAGCAGAAAATCATCTTCATCCATCAGTGACTTGTCAGATAATAATACAAACTATTTAAAATATTCCTCTGATTCATCTTTTAACGACTCAAGTTTACCACCGCCACCGCCACCGTCAACAACAACAACAACAACTAATAATAATAATATACCAACGTTACCAAAACCAAATTCAAATAATAATGTAAATTCTTTATTATCCGGACTTTATGATAACCATAATAATAACCATAATAACGTTAAAGACGAACTTGATGATTTTTTCGATACTTTGAATAATTCTTCAAATCAACAACCTGTTACAAAAAGAAACAACATATATCCAGAACCTAATAAATCATCACCATCATACACCAATAATACTAATACTATCACCAATTCTTTTTTCACCCAAAAAAATCTCTTGGAGAATCGTCGTCGTTCTGCGACATGCCCTACTCAAAGCATTTTTAATAATTCAAATTTAAGTTCTAATCCAAATTCAAATGCAAATACAAATATTTTTTCAACCGGGTCTTCTCTTTTTAACAATAATGATTTGAATCTTTCTTCTGTTAATTATAATCAAAATAATGTAATAATTTATTATTTATTATTTTTTTTGAAACTGGTTTTTATATTTATTTAAATAATTCTCTCTTATATATATATAAACTCGTGAACATTGGTAAACAGGATCCTTTTGGACATGTCAGACATAGTTCTTTGACTTCAATTGCAAGTGATAGTAAGTATAAAAGAATATTATTATATTAAAATAAGGTAGATATACTATAATGATGATAATAATGATTATTATTATTACTATTGTCAATTTAAAGGTATTCTCAAACCTAAACCAGCTTCTTCACTTTCATCACCTATTCTTGATGATCCGTATATAGCATTCAAGGAGTTAACTTTAAATGATAATATTAATTCGAAAAGTAAATTTTTTTTTAATTTCAAATCTTTACAAAGTCGGTTTCTTAATTACAATATAATAATAATTTCTTATATACAATTTTTATTAATAATTAATCATCCAAATACCATTACAGCATCAAATTTACATTCAAAACGTTCAATTAACAACAGTAGTAGCATAAATGATCCTTTCAGTAATCTTTTGCCACCAACTAAATCTGAAACATCACGAAGATTCTCACCTCAAAAATTAGATGATAATGATATTTTCAGTGATTTCCAAACTGCTCCTGATAATAATAATTCACAGCAAACAATTTATTCAACGAATTTAAATTCTTACAGCAACACATTTCCAAATGGTTCTTCAAACGTTAATCAAACAACATCGATAAATCAATTTAATAATAATTTTGGTAACTTATATCAAGCACAACAAAAATATTCATTCTTCCCTTCGTCTACTATCACTAATACTTCTATATCAAATACAGATATGAATTTATTGCAGCAAAAACAATTTAATTACTCAAAGAGCATGTCTTTTGATAATGTGTTTAGTGATTTAGATCCATTACGTAATAAATAATTAAATTTTTTATTTATAGTTTTATTTCTATTTATTTATTTATTAATCAATAAGATTTTGTTGTACATATACATAATTATTTATATTATATATTTTTTCTTATTAATTTTATTAATTAGAAAATATATATACAAACATACAAATAAAGAAAAGAATCATTATAAATATTACTACCATTTTCCACTATCATTATTATCATTATATCATTATTAATCCATATGAATTGCACCAACAAAATTCTTTTTTAAATTTTGTGATATTTTTGTTTGCTTTGTAAGTTCCTTGGCAAATGCCTTTTTTAATGATTTTTTTTCTATTCTACGAATCTGTTCATAACACACATGCACACATTTAAGTATAATGTATATAAAAAAAAATAATGTTTATTTAATAATATTTATTACCTTTCTTTGACCCTTTAACATTTCTTTACGTGATTTTTTTTCTTCTTTCGATTCACCTTTAGGCCTCGCCAAACCAAGATTTACTTTTCCAATTAAATATTAACCAAAAACAATTAGTTTATTAAAAAATAATAATAAAAAAAAAAAAAATATTCAATTAATTACGTTTTATTAGCTTATCATCATCTTCCTCTCCATCATCTTCTTCGTTGTCGTCGTCGTCAAAATTTAATTCATCTTTATTTTCTTTATTTTCTTTTTCATTGTTTGTCTCAATATCATCATTTCTTTTGTTTTTTGTATTAGAATCAGATATTATTGGTAGTCCTGTTTTACGATCAATATCTATTCGTTTATGATGTTTCTGCTCGCGTATCAGGATTGGATGATTTTCAAGATTTGAATATGTACCTATTTATATATAAAACATATAAACCATATCAGCTTTACAAAATTTTAATCAATTATCAACACTATATTAAAAACGAATTTGCTTTATTTACTTAAAATCGATTGACAATCCCAAATTTGTCTATCTTTGTGTTTTCCCTCACTCTGCACTTTAACATATAAATCTTTTTTTCTTTGAATATTATTTTTTGAATTGTTTTTATTTACTCCATCATCATCGTCGTCGTCATCGTCGTCGTCATCGTCATCGTCAACATCGTCATCGTCAACATCATTATTTTTTTTATCACAACTTAATTCTTGTCTTATTAGTTCTAATTGTTTTGTGCTTGTTTCACCATCAGGTTTTGTCAACATCTTTCTACCTTTGATTTCGTATTTATCAAGAAATTCATCTAAAATCTCTGAAAAATCATTACGGACTTGTGATGACTTGATTGATGTTTCTGAATCAGAAGTTTCTTCTGACATATAATCCTTTTCAATCTATTGTAATAGATTACATACAATCATTATATAATCGTGATTATAATAATTAGTTTAAACTGTTAGTAACCTAAATTAATAAATCATTTCTCACTTTCTCAAATTGTTCATCCAATAACCTAAGTTTATCATTCCTATACATTATCGAACTTGTCATTGAGTATCCTCCCGTCGTTCTTGATTTCCTATCATCATCATCGTCGTCATCATCATCATCATCATCATCATCATCAATGTTTTTGTTTGATTTATTTTTATTATTTTTAAACTTCTTAAACTCCAATTCCCAACCTTCTTTTTCATTTTCACTTTCGAAACCATCCTCCTCATCATCCCCATCGATGTCAAATTCCTGAAAATCAAATAACTTTTCTTCATCCAGCTTTTGAAAAAACTCGTCATTTAACTCATTATCTACAAATGCATCATCTTCAAGAGCTTCCAAAACTTCCCGAAGATTTGGATCCATGTCTGGTTGAAATCCTTGAATATCTTTTTAAAAAAAATTTACAAAGAAAATCATTAAATAAAACATTTTTGGTTTTTTTTTTTGAAATTCAAACTTTAAATTATCCTAGTTACCATGAGGAATTGCTGTTTGATTTAATAATCCAATAGGCATTTCATACTTTGATGGCAATACCTCATCAGGTAAAATTATAGTAACTTTACGATCTTTTTTTGGAATTTTTGGATCCTAAATAAATAAATATTTCAATTGGAAACATAATCAGTATATATATTATATATATCTCACAAAAGATAATTCTAAGGAACAATTGGTAATTATTTAATGCTTAAATCATTGATTCTTTTGGAATGTCATTTTTAAAAAATCTTCATTAATCTGCTTTTTTGTTTAGATTATATAATAGCTATAATAACAACCTTTTCTTCCAATAATGTATCTTTATTTTTTGTTTCTTCCTCATCTTGATTTTCAACTAATTCGATATTTCCACCTTTTCTTACATTTTTTTTATCTTTAGATGATGCCTCAATGAATATTGATTCAATTCCATCAGAATTTTCACCGATTGTTTTCAAATGTTGTAAATAATCATATTTGGTATCATCATAATATATCCCGTATAATGCAGCTTGACCAGCACGACTTTTTTTTTTTTTGAAAACATCGGATTTAGATAAAATTAGATAAATTAAATTTTACATTTATGTTTGATTTATTCATTACCTTTCAATTTCAATTTGTTTTTGTTGGTTGTTATTATTATTATCGGTGTTGAAGACTTTTCCCTATAAAGAAAAAAATTCTCATAACTGTTCATGTAAAACCGATATATTGAAACAAAATTTTCCTCTTTTATCTTTATTCACCTTTAAATTAGGCGGGATCACTTCAACTAAAACTCTAGAGGAAACATCGGAATCATTGATTAAAGGATCTCTTTGAGATCTATGTACTAAATGGTAATGTTTTGCGGTTTTACGATCAATGAACGGCCTTTTCCCCATTTTTCAAAAAAAATTTTATAAAACTTTCGTGGAACATCAGTTTTTAATCCTATATGTGTAACAATAATTTTCTGCGGTGGAATAACCCGCTATATAAAATCTTGAATTATACCAACGTTTCCGAGAAATATTCATATTATTCGGTTATTGAAGAGAAGATTCAATAAACAAAATCTTGTTATAAATCGAGAAACTTTTTTCTATACCTCGGAACAATTTTAGAAAGAGATCTTGAATATTCATTTAAATCTATCTCAAACAATTGTATTGTCCACAGTAAACGGCCATTCATTCAATAATTCACTTGGGTGGTTTCTAATTCTTTGACAATGGCTCTATGTTGAAGGATCAAGTAAAATAAATTTTGGATCAAAAATTTGTGCTGCCCGAAAAAGAAGGCATACAGGATGTGGAGGAACGCGTTGAATCCTCTGGGTCCTTATCCACTTGTCACCATTCGATTGCGGCACTTCTGTTACAAATATAAAAGGATGTTTGTAACTAAGGGTGAGTGCAAACATATGAACACTTGAGAGTTATGACACTAATACGGCGTACGGTAAGGGTATTACAATACCAGTCTTAATCAATATACAAATGCGAAGTTAACAACAGATTTTATCTTTTTTTGAGATTTATTTTATTGCTTGCATAAATTAACGGGTTTCATAAAGGAAGAACAGCCGCTGATGTGACCCTTACCATTTTCATTTAGTCAATTATGCGTAATGATTGTTTTAAATTAACCTAATTTTAGAATAAATTCGTAACACAATTCTATTTTCTTATTATATATTCTTTTTTTCTAACTTTATTATTTTTCTTCTTCAAAAAAAAATGTCATCAAAGCCATTAGTAAGAAAGTCATCAAACAACCCTTCTTCGTATTCTTCGATTAATTCCAATAAAAATCATGAAATACATAGTAATGGTAATAACAAAAGCAAAGAGTCTTCCCAAAAATCTATCGCTATATTTGTGATGCAAGGGTTTTTTATTTCGATAATAATGTTTTTTCTGGCTTCTTATTTCATAACCGAAACTTGGACTTGGGGATATCAAAATCAATATACAAATTGGAGAAATTACATTCCGGTATTACATAAATTTATATAATATAAAATATACAAATATACAATATACTTTTTTTTTACAAAGTGCCTTTTTTTTGTTTTCATACATTTAGCGTAGAGACTTAATACTAACGGAAGAAGAATTGGCAAAATATGATGGTTCAGACCCAAATTTACCAATCTATATCGCAATAAAGTAAAATAAAAAATTAAATTTTGATTATTATTATTATTATTATTATTATTATTATTATTATTATTATTATTATATTATTATTATTATTTATGAATTGAACAATATATTCCTGATTAATTAATTATTAGTGGAGAAGTTTTTGACGTGACTGCTGGCAAAATGTATTATGGAAAGGTAAATATAATTTTTTTTGATTTTGATAAAAGACAATTACAGAAAATTAAAAAATTTTCCCGATTGTTATAATATATTTTAGGATGGCGGATATAAGTTTTTTTCTGGAAAAGATGCAGCTCGTGCTTATATTACTGGTTGTTTTGAAACACATTTAACACACGACTTGCGTGGATTAACTAGTAAACAAATCAAAGTAAGCAAGCTATCAAATATTGATTTTTTTTATTTAATTATTAGTTATTTATTATTTGCAAATAATAACTTTCCATTATTCTTATTTATAGGAATTAGACAATTGGGCAGATTTTTATCGTAATCATCATACTTATTATAAAGTAGGACGTGTTATTCATCCTCCTATAGATCCAAAAACTCCGATTCCTGAACCATGCAAATAATCAAAATTATAAAAAATTGGGGTTTTTCTTGGTATATATTGCATTGAATTATTTATTCAAATTAATAAGTCATTATTGTTATTAATTTATTATTAATTATAATACTATTGAATTTTTAATTTGTTATTATTTGTATTTTTATCATTCTTATTTAAAATTTTCTTTTTGTTGATCTTGTTGGAAGGTATTGGATGTTGCATTTCCCACAAAATATCATCTCTATACAATTTTATAGCTGATTCAATATCATAATCAGATTGTTCCATATAATATTTTGCCTCGTCATAATCAACACATTTAGACTTGAGTTGAAATCTTTTAATCAATGTTTTTAATTCTACATTTAAAAAATATACAATTAAAAAAATGAATATTTTTGTGACAATATAAAATATCAATTATTATCATCATTACATACCATCTTCCACCGAAGGTTTTTCTGATAAGGACGGCCCAATATATTTTGGAATCTTTAGAAATTTATGAGCAAAAATATTATCATCAAAAAATAAATTTGCTTTCCTAATGTCTTTAATCTAATCAAATTAAAAGAAATATATATGTCTTTATTATATATATCTGCGATTTTTTAACACCATCGTTGTTATTATCATAATAATAAAAAATAATACCTCAACACCATATTTAAAAGACAACCCAACCAAAGTATCTTCCTTTTTCACAAAATGAATAATTGCATTATTATTATTATTAATTAAAGTTTTCTTTGTAACATCTTCATATTTTGGTAGTTGCGAAATACTTTTTTGACCAGGTAAGTATGTGTACGGAGGCGGTGGTGGGAGAGAAGAAACATCGTTTAATAATGTGTTAATATCGTTGTTTGCTGCTACTTCAACTTGATCTTGATTGCGATTTCCGCTCAAAATTCTTTCAACTTTTCGACAGAAAACACAATAATTTAAAAGATTTGGATTTCTTTTTAAACAACTTTCACATATCCAGCGATTACAACAGCTTGTTAAAAAAGGCGTCAATGATGTATAATTATTATTAGAATGAGAGTTGTTGTACTGTACGTGACAAATTAAACAAGAAATATTGCGCATTTTAGAAATTATTTATTATTATTTATTAAAAAATTTTTTGGGAGTATTTATTTATAAAATTGACGATCTACTAAACATATCTATATTATATTGAAACCAGTCAAGTCAGTCAATAAGGATATATTTATAAATGCTTTTACGTACAGTATTTAAAAAAAATTAGTGCTTAGAGATACGATGTAAAATTGCATCATGGGAGCTGATAAATATATACACTACAAAAATTATATATTATAATATATATATATAATATTTACAAGGAATTGTCAAGAGAAGAGATTAAAATTAATAATTTTCAAAGAATTTAAAATATCAAAGATAAAATTTATCATTAGATATTTTCATTTTTAATTTATTGTTTTCTTCACTTAATTGTTTAACTTCTTCTCTCAATGCTTCCACATCACCACAATAACTTTTAAACATCTCTTCAATGCTGCTCTGTACAAATACACGCACACGCGTGTGTGAATGATATAGAAAAGAATAAAATTTTAGAAAATTTAAAATTTGAGAAAAAAAATAATTTAATATAATAAAGAACAAAAACCTGTTGAATATGAAATTGTCTTATTAATTCTACATGCATATCCATAATATCTCTATGCAATGTGGTTTTAAAGTCATCCAAACATTCGCTGACAACATTTTCAAGAACTTTATATTGAAAATTTGATTTTGTGTCCGATACATTACCATTACTATTATTATTAACATTATCATCGTTTACTATTGAATTTCTTTTAATGTAGTTATTAATGTCTAGATTAGTGTCAATGTTAAAGTCTATGCTGGTATTAAAGCTAGATGTAGCAGTTTTATTGCCGTTGCTGCTGTTGTTGATAATACTAACATCCTTAATAGAAGTAGTGGCATTATTACTACTACTATTAAAAGAACCTAGATTACTTATACTCGTAAGCATCCTGGATGGTGTAGTTTCTGAAGAGTTGTTTGCTTCAACATCTTCCATATAAACATTTTTCCTACGAGTAGATTTAACTGGTGAAAAAATATCCATATATTTATTATTGTTCATTTTGAATAATTTTTGTTTTTTGTGGTTTACGGAATTATTATTGGTTGGTTGGCTTGATTTCTAGATCTATCCTTTGTGGCACTATATAGTATAATAAATATTATATGAACGAAAGCAAACATGGTGGACATTCGAAATGTTGCACCATTTTTTATGTCGTGTAACGTAATTTTAAAGTAAAAAAACAATTAAAGTGGCGACACGTTGATATCTAACACGTACTGTAACTTTACTGAGATATTCTTTAACTTTTTTTAACTTAATTCCAGCTGCATCCGCCGGCATCCGCGATTTGACATATTTTACTTAGTACTAACATTTCCAATATGACATTATGCACCAGATATGTAATTTGCAATGAAATCAGAGTAGGCTCAAAGTATAGAAAAATTACAGAATCAAGTAAAAATAAAGCAGAAACTGGGGGATATATAATTTAAGTGTTGATGATTTAATTTGTAATATATGTTATAATAGATGTATTAATTATGATTCTCATATTAAAAAACCTGATGATAATTCATTTAAAACAAACTCCAACAATATTATCAACTGAATTGGAGAATATAACAAGGTCTGTTGGTACAAATAATTTAGTTGGTAATTATTTTTTTTTTTATAATTTCTTTTGGATTTATAAAATAAGTTAATTCATATCATATCATTAATGATGGTTAAAGATATTTAGATGCATATCCATAATATCTCTATGCAATGTGGTTTTAAAGTCATCCAAACATTCGCTGACAACATTTTCAAGAACTTTATATTGAAAATTTGATTTTGTGTCCGATACATTACCATTACTATTATTATTAACATTATCATCGTTTACTATTGAATTTCTTTTAATGTAGTTATTAATGTCTAGATTAGTGTCAATGTTAAAGTCTATGCTGGTATTAAAGCTAGATGTAGCAGTTTTATTGCCGTTGCTGCTGTTGTTGATAATACTAACATCCTTAATAGAAGTAGTGGCATTATTACTACTACTATTAAAAGAACCTAGATTACTTATACTCGTAAGCATCCTGGATGGTGTAGTTTCTGAAGAGTTGTTTGCTTCAACATCTTCCATATAAACATTTTTCCTACGAGTAGATTTAACTGGTGAAAAAATATCCATATATTTATTATTGTTCATTTTGAATAATTTTTGTTTTTTGTGGTTTACGGAATTATTATTGGTTGGTTGGCTTGATTTCTAGATCTATCCTTTGTGGCACTATATAGTATAATAAATATTATATGAACGAAAGCAAACATGGTGGACATTCGAAATGTTGCACCATTTTTTATGTCGTGTAACGTAATTTTAAAGTAAAAAAACAATTAAAGTGGCGACACGTTGATATCTAACACGTACTGTAACTTTACTGAGATATTCTTTAACTTTTTTTAACTTAATTCCAGCTGCATCCGCCGGCATCCGCGATTTGACATATTTTACTTAGTACTAACATTTCCAATATGACATTATGCACCAGATATGTAATTTGCAATGAAATCAGAGTAGGCTCAAAGTATAGAAAAATTACAGAATCAAGTAAAAATAAAGCAGAAACTGGGGGATATATAATTTAAGTGTTGATGATTTAATTTGTAATATATGTTATAATAGATGTATTAATTATGATTCTCATATTAAAAAACCTGATGATAATTCATTTAAAACAAACTCCAACAATATTATCAACTGAATTGGAGAATATAACAAGGTCTGTTGGTACAAATAATTTAGTTGGTAATTATTTTTTTTTTTATAATTTCTTTTGGATTTATAAAATAAGTTAATTCATATCATATCATTAATGATGGTTAAAGATATTTAGAATTGCAATTTGAGATAAATTATTAATTATTTTTATTTTTATTTGTAGGTATCATTGAATTTTCTAAATATTTTAATTCTCAAATTAAAAGACTTACTACAGTTCTTTATAATTTAGAGAATCAACAATAAAATTATATCACCCATTTTTCAATTTATTATATAAGAAGATATTTAAGAAAACAAAAAATTTATCACTTACACCTCCTCCATGGTTGGTAAATTATTTATTGTATATCTCACGATCAGGATGGATGATTATTAGAGATACAGTTATTAATAAATTTGGCATCCAAAAAAATCTTGAATATCACACATTTTTAGATTTATTAGATAATATTGTACCAGCAACATTGGATATTTATGCAATTTTATTTCGTGAAGGTCATTTTGAAGAATATTTGGAAACAATCTTTCGACTTTGGACTATTATGAAACGATTTGGAAGAAAAAATTATGATAAGATAATGATAGCTTTTATCTCTGATGTTCTTTATTGGCAAAGCATTGAACATCCTATGTACAATATTTTATCTGAAAA